GGAATTGTTTGAATTTTAAAAAATAAAAATAAACAAAGTGAGTGAGGGAGTCGTTTGTATAAATGACGCGATGGAAAGGGCTGATAGTTTAGCACATATTTTTATTTTAATATTTTTTACTCTTTTTATTTATTTAAAGAAAAGTAAGGTAAAATACATAAATAAAAATGTTAACCCACTCCTTTTAGACAAAGAAAAAATATAAATAAACTAAATTAAATATCTACACTATAATTTAAATTATACAAAGAAAAATATAATAGTTTACTTATTAAAATTCTAATTAAAAGAAACCATGTATATATGTACATATATATTTTTGATTTTGTTTTAGAAATAAACTTTATATTCTAAGAATGTAAGTAATTTTGTAGTTTTTTTTCAATTAAAATTTTCTTTTAAATAAAACTTATTAAGAGTAAGATAAAAGTTTAAAAAATCAAGATTAGACCTAAAAGAAATATTTACACTAAAATAGTATAAAATTCAGGTGCGGTCAAAAATTAGTTGTTCACATCATGCCCCTCTTTGCTTGGAAACATGAAGAGTTTTCAGGCAAAGAAAATGAACAAGGTGACTGATTTTTGACCACCCTATTATTTAAAAGGAAAAAGAAGTGAAAGAAGGCATTGCGACCGAGACTTGGTTTTGGGCAGCCTACATATCTCGGGTTATAAGGGAATCAGGTCACATGTAGTTCAAGTGGAAAATGACTGATAGAGTATGCTTAGATGGAGAGTCAAGTGAAGTTCCATCGAGGTTCCGATCTGCAGTTTCTACTATTACATCAAAATGAAAAGAAAATCACATACTCTTGAAATCTAAGAATTACAAAATTCCTATCTAAATGCCATCTTGAGTCTTGTCTTGATTCTTGACTTGCTTCTCCCATTGACTTTAGACTGAAACTTGATGCTCTCAATGCAACAGACTATGAAGTATTCTCGCAGGCTTGTTTCTGGATCAGATGATGAGAAAATGGATCTTGACCCTATGTCTCTGCATGCCTTATGTCAAAGCTGGTTGCGGTGGGTATTGAGATCAAACGTTTCACTTTCTCTGGCAAGAACCGAAATCTTATTTCTGCATATCCAATCTATGCTTTGCAGAAAAACCTACAAGCCAGCACAAACAAACAAAACGAACAAAACTTTTCTGCTCCAGTTTGCACTAGAAAAATTTTGTGAGTTATTGAAAAATACAATAAACTATATTTGCTATTACAGAATAAATAATTGAAAAAGAAATGGCTCCCTTTTTTTTTATAGGAGATGTCGTACCCTATGTTAACAAGATTGAAGGCAACCAGGAGATATAGTACCCTGTGTTGGCAATAAGATGAGGCTCGTGGCACTCTGAGATGCTACTAGGGAATGTCGTACCCTATGTTGGCAATAAAATATAACCATGGGATGTAGTACCCTGCGTTGGTAATAAGATGAGGCTCGTGGCACTCTGAGATGCTACTAGGGAATGTCGTACCCTATGTTAATAATGAGAAATGTAACCAGGGGATGTAGTACCCTGTATTGGCAGTAAGGTGAGGCTCTTGTCTATCTAAGATTCTATTAGGAAATGTTGTACCCTATGTTGGCAATAAAATACAACCGGGGGATGTAATACCCTGCATTGGCAATAAGATGAGGCTCGTGGCACTTTGAGATGCTACTAGGGAATGTCGTACCCTATGTTGGCAATAAAATGAGGCTCGTGGCACTCTAAGATGCTACTAGGGAATGTCGTACCCTATGTTAGCAATGAGTAATGCAGCCAGGGGATGTAGTACCCTGCGTTGGCAATAATATGAGCCTCGTGACACTCTGATATGCTACTAGGGAATGACATATCCTATGTTGGCAATAAAATAAGGCTCGTGGCACTTTGAGATGCTACTAGGGAATGTTATACCCTATGTTATCAATGAGAAATGTAACTAGGGGATGTAGTACCCTGTGTTGACAATAAGATGAGGCTCGTGACATTCTAAGATGCTACTAGGGAATATCGTACCCTATGTCGGCAGGAAATAATGCAATCAGGGGATGTAGTACTCTGTGTTGAAGATAGGGTATTGATTCCCTATAATGAAACTAAAAATAACATGATTACATATATATTGGAAGAAAATCAAGGATTTGAGAACTTCACTTGGTGGTGTTCGTCTTTTCACGAACTGTTTCCTAAAATTGTTCTGTTCCTGTTCTGAATAAAGAAAGATTCATTAGTTTTAAAATTGTGGTCAGTTTGTGACCTTGATTTCTTGGGTGACTTGACCTTGTGTCCATTACACTTGTTAGAAAAACTGACTTCGTCGATGATTGTACAAATTGCCAGGAGATTCTGTCTTTTTTGTTTTCTGGAGATCATCTTTCTCAACATCAAAACCTAACCATTTTGCGTCTATCACCATGTGTGTTCATGGTGCAAACAACCTTGCTCCCAAAATAACTTTTAACTGAGTAACTTTTGTTTACCCTTGAAACATTGTTTAGTCCTTCAAGGCTTTTGTTTGTCAGGGAAAATCAAAGATGGATTTATGCCTTTGCCCATACTGTTTACGCCCAGAAATGTTTGCTTTATATAACGGGGAAACTGTAACCAATTTTGCGGCCTTTTCTTTGCTTTGCTTTGACAAAATTGGACTGAAAGGGACTCAAAAAAATAATGCAAAAGAAAACAAGAAGGTGAACTAATAGATATTACAACTTAATCAAGAAGTGTTCCTTTCCGAGGAAAAAATAAGAAAGGACTTATCTAGAGGAATATGCGGACTTCAATGAACATGACATGCACTTTGGAATGGATGCCCGATCCGTCTGAACCGTCTAATTTTTAAAATTTGTTGTAAATTTCACTTTGAAACTGAGTTCTTTGTCTTAGCCATGCTTGTGCAGGGATATATGAAGACCTAAATCGATCAATGATGCCCTTTGTGGGTTTTCACCAATTGACCTCTCTCATTTGCCTTTCTCTTAACTCACTATTTCCTTATAGTGCCCGTGAGGGTTTTCACCAATAAGACTCTCTCATTTAGTTTTTCCTCTTTACAATGGCTGAGGCATCGTCCATAGTATACTGAATCAAAGGGATCTTTACAATGGCTGAGGCAGCGCCCCGACTACTTTTCCACTCATGAGAATCATTAAAGGGGCAGTGTGATTTTTGGTTTTTCCTTGTTCATCAGCAGCAGCATTCCAGTTATTCGAATCAGCAAGATCATTCCTTTTCTCGCTGCTTCGATTCTCAATAAGCTCGGGGTGCAAACGCCAACATTCAATTTCATCATGTCCTTGTAGTTTACACTCCTTACAATATTTTGATAGCATGTCATACTGAATTCTTACCCCTTATGTTCGAAAACCACCAGAAACTTCATCATCAATATCCAATCGCACCTTTTTAGGTAGTTCGACCAACAAATCGACAAGAACTTTTACTCTCGCACAACTCGGCCTAGTTTTGTTTATAGTTGCCGCGTCAAGACACACTAGCCTTCCTACAGCTGTAGCCAAAGAAAACATAGTTTCCTTCACAAAAAGGTAGGCAGCAGTCCAGGAAAAGAAATTCACGCCATCACCATCGGAGTTTCTTCACCCGCCTTAAATTTTGCATCGTAGATAAGAGTACATAATTGGTATTTGTACCCATCTTTGGCTTTGATGTAGTACGTACTCTTCGATGTGAAATCGAGGAAATCTTTCCATAGACTTAATCTAATTAACACATGACAACCTCTAAGGAATCCGATATTGCACTCACCTTTGTTACCACATTGAGTTGGCTTCAAAGGACGATGCCTTAGTTTATTTACAAAGGTCCTAATGGCTGAAGCTCTACACTTGTACTTAATAAAAAAAATTAGAAAAATCAAGTACATTGGTTCCAAAAGAGGGGAAAATAAGGAAATATAAACAAGGCTTCAAAAGGATAACTAGGGTTGACTAGTGTTTGGGTAGCGAGAATGATAGCCTTTCGTCATCCCAACCTGAGAATGCTAAGTATAAAAATGCCCCAACAGAGGCATGTCAGACATAGTATCTCTTGACCGCATCTGCGTTGACGGATATATCAGTCACCTTTCCTTCTATATCTGCCAAGTGTAGAGCTCCTTTTGACAATACTTTCTTGATGAGATAAGGACCTTGCCAATTCGGGGCGAACTTTCCTTTTGCTTCTTCCTGGTGCAGAAAGATACGTTTCAAAACAAGTTGTCCTACCTCGAATTGTCTTGGGCGCACTTTATTAGTGTAAGCGCGGGCCATTCTTTGTTGGTATAACTGACCAAAACAAACTGCGGCCAAATGCTTTTCATCAATCAAACTCAACTGTTCTAATCGGGACTTGACCCAGTCAGTGTTCTCAATCCCTGCTTCAATAATGATTCGGAGAGAGGGAATCTCAACTTCAGTAGGTATGACCTTCAGTGCCATAAACCAATAAGTAGGGCATTGCGCCAGTTGATGTACAGACAGTTGTCCGGTATCCCAAAAGAGCAAAAAGCAGTTTCTCGTGCCATTGTCTAGACCCTTGGATCATCTTCCTGAGAATCTTCTTTATGTTCTTATTCGCAGCTTCAACAACTCTTTTAGCTTTGGGCCGGTAAGGAGTAGAATTGCGATGCTCAATTTTAAATTGTTCATATACCTCCTTCATCAGATGACTATTCAAATTAGCAGCACTATCCATGATAATAATTTTTGGAATACCGAAACCATAAATGATGTTGGAGTGAACAAAGTCTACTACTGCTTTCTTGGTAATTGCTTTCAATGTAATAGCTTCCACCCATTTGGTGAAGTAATCAATTGCAACCAAGATGAATCTGTGCCCATTTAAAGCTTTTGGCTTGATTGGTCCAATGACGTCCATTCCCAAGAAACAAAAGGCCAAGGAGCCGACATATGATACAACTCTGAAGGAGGCGAGTGAATCAAATCACTGTGAATCTGACACTGGTGGCTCTTGCGAACAAAACGAAAGCAATCTCGTTCCATAGTAAGCTAATAATATCCTGCCCGAAGGATTTTCTTTGCTAGAACATATCCATTCATGTGTGGACCACAAACTCTCGAACGCACCTCATTCATAATCATTTCAGCTTCTTTGGCATCTACACATCTCAACAAATTCAAATCCGGAGTTCTTTTGTATAGGATTTCCTCACTCAAAAAGAAACCATTAGAGAGTCGCATAATAGTTCTCTTTTGATCCCTATTAGCGTGTTCTGGATATTCTCTTGTTTTCAGAAACTGTTTAATATCATTGTACCATGGTTCACCATCTGGTTCTGCTTCAATTGTATTGCAATAACCATGTTGATCCCGAATTTGAATTTCTAATGGGTCAATGTGAGTATTACCCGGATATGGAAGCATTGAGGCCAGGGTGGCCAAGGCATCAGCTAATTCATTGTGAAACCTAGGAATGTACCTGAACTTGATGGACTTGAACCTTTTGCTAAGATCCTCCACACATTGTCTATATGGAATGAGCTTGATGTATCGAGTCTCCCAATCACCTTGAGCCTGCCGAATAAGCAAATCTGAATCTCCCATCACCAACAGTTCATGCATATTTAGGTTTATTGCCATGTTCAGACCCATGATGCAAGATTCATATTCCGTCGTATTGTTTGCACAGAAGAAACGAAGTCGCGCTGTGGCAGGGTAATGTTGCCCAGTAGGTGATACAAGAATTGCCCCAATCCCTACGCCTTTGATATTGACAGCCCCATCAAAGTATAGTTTCCAAATTTGACTGTCATCTTGGACTACTTCTTCAACTAAATTAACCCATTCATCTGGGAAATATATGTTCAAAGATTCATACTAATCATCAACCGAGTTTTCTGCTAGATGATCAGCCAAAGCTTGTGCCTTCATGGCAGTGCGAGTGACATAAATGTGATGACCTAAAATGTCATCTTTTAATTTAATAATTTATTCTGTGTTCTAAGACCTCAAAAAATACTATTTATCATTCCTCGACTTGCGTGCGCAGTCCGAAAATTTTTTCGAAAAGTTTTTATGTGAAAATGGATTAAAATGTGAAATAAATTTTAAAACTCAATTGAGTTGACTTTGGTCAACATTTTGAGCAAACAAACTCAGATCAGTATTTTGACAGTTCCGGTAGATCCGTATCGTGAATGGGACTTGGGCGTATTCCCGAAATTAAATTCCAAGGTCCCTAGCCCGAGATATGGAATTTTGATGAAAAATTAAAAGTTTAAGTTCAAATAGTGATCGGATGTAGAATTATGTGTAAACGACCCCAGAATAAAATTTTGATGATTTCAACAGCTCCGTATGGTGATTTTGGACTTAGGAGCGTGTTCGGAATTTTATTTGGAAGTCCATAGTTAAACTAGGCTTGAAATGGCTAAAATAGGAATTTAAGTTTGAAAGTTTGATCGGGGAGTTGACTTTTTGATACCGGAGTTGGGATCCAGTTCCGAAAATTTTCATAGCTCCGTTATGTCATTTATGACTTGTGTACAAAATTTGAGGTCAATCGAATTTGATTTGATAAGTTTCGACATCGAATATAGAAGTTGGAAATTTTAAAGTTTCCTTAAGCTTGAGTTGGGGTGTGATTTGTGATTTTAGCATTGTTTGATGTGATTTGAGGTTTCAAATAAGTTTGTATGATATTTTAGGACTTGTTGGTGTATTTGGTTGAGGTCCTGAGGGTCTCGGGTGAGTTTCGGATGGTTAACGGATCAAAAGTGGGAACTAAGCAGCTGCTGCAACATTTCTGCTGAAAATGCAGAAACAAAATCGAGCCCATAAATCGAGCCAAGGCTCGAGGGCTAGGCTCGAGGGCCATGATCGAAGGCAGGCTCGAGGGCCATGATCGAAGTCAAGCTCGAGGGCAAGGCTCGAGGGACATGATCGAAGGCAGTGATCGAGGCCCAGGATCGAGGGCTATGACCGAGGCTAGTGATCGAAGGCCCAGGATCGGGGGCTATGACCGAGGCCAGGATCAAGGGCCATAAAGATCGAAGCCGTGATCGATGCCCGAGATCGAAGGCTGCCTGGGCAGTTGTATAAAACAGGGGATTTCGTCCCATTTGCCATTTTTGACGAACTTGAGATTGAGCAGAAGCGATTTTTGTCAGATTTTTAAGGAAAAATATTTGGGTAAGTGATTCTAACTGGGATTTGGTCAATATACACGAATATATTATTATTTTAACCATTTAATCAGTGTTTTGAGATTGAAATTTGGGAAAATTTTAGAAATCTCATAGAAACGAATTTTTGAGATTTCGGTGTTGATTCAGAGTCGGATTTGAGTGAAACTGGTATGGTTGGACTCGAAATTGAATGGGTTGTCGGATTTTGTAAGTTTTGCCAGATTCCGAGATGTGGTCCCCACGAACAATTTTTGAGCTAATTTCGATTTTATTGAAAAATGTCATATTTTCTTATGATATTGATTCCTAAAATTTTTGTTGACTGTATCGAATTAATTATGACTAGATACGAGTCGATCGAAGTCGGAAAATAGAGAAAAAGGCATACTACTTGATTAAATTAGAGCAAGTCGAGGTAAGTGACTTGTCTAACCTTGTGGGTGGGGGAGGGGGGAGGTGGAGGAATTTCCCCTAGGATTGGTATTGTTGTGATAAATTGTAATGTATTAAAAGTCGTATACACAAGGTGACGAGTGTGTACACAGGCTAAATATGAAAGATTATGTCTTTAAATTGTGTAGATAGTTGTTGCAAATCAATTAAATAATTTTACCTTGTATTATTCTTCATTATTGAATTAAATGTTTATTACTTTAAATTGCTTGACCTTTTCCTGCTAATTGTTTTACCTGTTTAATTGAAACTTGGTTTCTTTTATTTTGTGCATTATTTGAAGGTTGATTTTCTTTAAATTAAATATTATTAATATGAATTATTAGATATTTTAAATTTGGTATTGAAGCAACGTATTAAAATTTTGAAATATTATTTTGTTGAGTTATTTATTCCCGAATATTTTTGGTGAGATTTTCGTACTCATTGTGATGGAGCCGTGAGCTCTTTATTGTGGAAAAATATTATTGTTGAATTATTTTGGCATGAGCCGTGAGCTCTTTATTATGAAAAAATATTGTTGTTGATTTATTTTGACAAATTGAAATATTTCGCAGTTGAGGTACAAATTGTGATACTGATACGCATGCGGTGGTATAAGGTTTGATGTGAAACGCATGGGGTGAGATAAGGGTGGCTTGATACGCATGACTAGTAGGGAAAACTACTAGAAGTCATGCGGTGTGATAAGGATAGCTAAAACGCGGGATGCTATTTCGGAAAAAAAAATATTTTCTTTAAAATAAATTATGAAGGCTCTCGCAGTGAGATAAGAAAATGAGATATTGTGAATTTATTTATGATTTGGGACTACGAGGCGGTACCTCGGACGTGCCCTTGTTGATATTGATTTATGGCCGCAGTTGCCTTTGATTATTTGTTGTGATTATCTTAAAGTTGAAAGGAATTCTGTTTTGATTCCACGAGATATTATTTGCCATTATTTTGTGTAATTAAATGGTGACATACTACGTGATTACTTTCCATTGTCATTTTATTTTTATTATATTGTTAAATATTTTACCATGCCATTATTATTTTCCAGTAGGGCCTGACCTGACCTCGTCACTACTCTACCGAGGTTAGGCTTGGTACTTAATAGGTACCGCTATGGTGTACTCATACTACGCTTCTGCACATCTTTTTGTGCAGATCCAGATACATCTTACCAGCCCAGATATCAATGAGCTACCTGTGTACGGAGACTTCGAGGTATATCTGCCAGCGTTCGCAGACTCCAGAGTCCCCTTCTATCATTGTTATGTTGCTTCCTTATTTTTCTTTAGACCCTGATATATAGATACATTGAGGATAAATTCTTAGAAGCTTGTGATTTATTTCTACCGGGTTTTAGGGAGTTATAATTATGTGAGTTTGCAAATTTATTTATTTCATATTTCTATTATTATTCCGCATTGATAGGCTTACCTAGTCTTAGCGATTAGGTGCCATCACGACATCCTACAGAGGGAAATTTGGGGTCGTGACAATAAACAATATCAAACTTTGTGAGCAAGATTTGCCACTTTGCCAATCTGCCAGTTGGAATCGGCTTTTGAAAGATGTACTTCAGGGGATCCATTCGAGATATGAGGTAAGTTGTATAGGCCAAAAGATAATGCCTAAGCTTCTGGGCGACCCAGGTTAAGGCGCAACATGTTTTTTCCAGAAGAGTGTATTTGGCCTCATAAGTGGTGAACTTTTTTGCTCAAATAATATATTGCTTGTTCATTTTTTCCTGTGGCATCATGTTGACCCAGAACACAACCAAAGGAACTATCCATTACTGACAGATATAAAAACAGAGGCCTACCAGGTTCGGGCGAGACCAAAATAGGGGGATTTGACAAATATTCCTTGATCTTATCAAAATCTTCTTGGAACTCATCTGTCCACTTGATAGTGGCGTTCTTTTTCAACAACTTGAAAATGGGCTCACATGTGGTTGTAAGTTGCACGATGAACCTGCTGATGTAGTTCAGTCTCCCGAGTAACTCATGACTTCTATTTTGTTCTTCGGGGGAGGAAACTCTCGAATGGTCTTTATCTTGGAGGGATCTAACTCAATGCCTTTTCAACTAACTATAAAACCCAAAAGCTTCCCAGAAGGAACTCCAAATGTGCATTTGGCTGGATTGAGTTTGAGATTTTATCTTCGTAGCCTTTCAAAGAACTTTTTCAAGTCTTGCACATGGTCATCTTGTGTTCTGGGCTTAATGATCACATCATCAACATACACTTCAATCTCTTTGTGCATCATGTCATGGAATATGGTAGTCATGGCTCTCATGTAAGTTTCCCCTGCGTTCTTCAAACCAAATGGCATGACTCTATAACAATACGTTCCCCATGGAGTGGTGAAGGCGGTCTTTTCCGCATCTTCTTCATCCATCAGAATTTGGTGATACCCGGCATAACAATCCACAAAATATTGGATCTCATGTTTAGCACAATTGTCAACAAGGATATAAATGTTGGGTAAGGGAAAGTTGTCCTTTGGACTTGCATTGTTTAAATCCCTATAGTCAACACAAACTCTAATTTTCCCATCCTTCTTTGGAACCGACACAACATTTGATAACCATGTAGTATATCGGACTACCCTGATCACAGTTGCACTTAGTTGCTTGGTGATTTCTTCTTTAATCTTATCACTCATGAATGTCTTAAACTTCCTTTGTTTTTGTTGGATTGGTGGAAAATTAGGATATGTGAGAAGCTTATGAACCACTAAATCGCCACTCAAACCCGGCATGTCATCATACGACCAAGCAAATACATCTCTGTACTCGAACAAAACTTGAATTATGTCATCTCTAGTCTTTTGTTCAGTATAAATGCTTATCTTTGTTTCTCTGGTTTCTTCAGGACTTCCCAAATTAAGTGCCTCAGTTTCATTTAAATTAGGCTTAGGCTTATTATTAAATTGATCCAATTCCCTTTTTATTTCCTTAAAAGCCTCATCTTCATCATACTCAACTTCTTGATTTATTATTTCGAGATTAGACAACT